CGGGGAGGCACCAAACCAGGAAATCCTGGTCCCCAGGAGGGCAGGGATGTCCCCAGGAGGGCAGAGGTGTCCCCAGGAGGGCAGGGATGTCCCCAGGAGGGCAGAGGTGTCCCCAGGATGGCAGAGGTGTCCCCAGGAGGGCAGAGATGTCCCCAGGAGGGCAGGGATGTCCCCAGGAGGGCAGAGATGTCCCCAGGAGGGCAGAGATGTCCCCAGGAGGGCAGGGATGTCCCTGCCACGGAGGCAGAGCAATTCCCATCAAAATACAAAACCAAATCGGTGCTGGGATTATTCCCAATCTCTTCCCTGTATCTCACATTTCACTCCCGGAGCCTCAGTGCTGGGATTGATCTGAGCACACACAGCTGAGATAAATGAAATTACTGCGTGGATTGCCAGAGAAATGTGTAAAAATGGAGAAATGGCGTGGTGAAGCTGTGGAGGAGCTTTTTAAATTCCCTTTTTACCTCAGGAGCTCGGCACGCTGGGCTTTGAGTGCAGCCCTGAGGAGGTGGATGTGGAGGACATCACCCAGAACCAAACCAACACCATCAGAGCCTGCACGGCCCAGGATGCTGCGGTGAGAGAAACACAAATGACACCTCAAATTCAACCTCGGGAGTTAGCATTTATCATTAGAAATATAATTATATATATATATACGTGGAATTTATAATCCACAATTCCCATCAAATCACAAATCTCTGTTCTTGTTTCATTCGCAGCCTGGAAATTGCCCGGTTTTGGAAAGATCAACTTTCGATAAGGTGAATAAAAATTTCCCAATAAAGTTATTTTTATTCTCATTGCATGATTAAATGAGCAGCAAATTCCCACATTTCCTGACAATTCCCTGTTGTTTTTTTTCCAGGGAAAATGCCTGCAGGGAATCTCTGAGGATCTGAGAGCCTACAGGACAGAGCTGAGGAACCTCCAGGACCCGCAGCTGCTGCTGGCTCTCGATGGGATGATGGAGGTGAGGATTCCTGCCCCCAAAATTCACTCCAAAATTCAGGAAACACGGGAAAAAAACCCTCAACTTCTCCTCCAAATGTATTATATTATATTAAATATAATACATAAATATTAATATAAATAATTAATATAATTATTAATTAAAATTATTACTTTAAAATCAATATATATTAATATAGAACTATATTATATTATATTATATTATATTATATTATAGTATAGTATAGTATAGTATAGTATATTATAGTATATTGTATTATAGTATATTGTATTATAGTATATTATATTATATTATATTATATTATATTATATTATATTATATTATATTATATTATATTATATTATATTATATTATATTATATTATATTATAGTATAGTATATTATATTATATTATATTATATTATATTATATTATATTATATTATATTATATTATATTATATTATATTATATTATATTATATTATATGTTGAAATAGAATATTGAAATAGAATATTGAAATATAGTATTAAAATATAAAATTGAACTATAATATTGAAATATAATATTGAAATATAACAGATCCAATGCACTGGATTTAAAGGTGGAGAAATTAAATTTTAGCCTCTGTAAATGCAATCATGAAATAGTTGAAATTTTTCTTTATTAATGATAATATTCAATATTTTATATTTTATCCTCAGTCTATTAATGCAATTGTGAAATATTTCAAAATTTCTCTTATTAATTAATGATCAATGAAATATTTTCAATTTTACCCTCGCTCTATTCATGCTAAATTAAATATTTCCAATTTTTCCTTTACTCTGCTCATGATAAATTAAATATTCCAAATTTTTCCCTCAGTCTATCCAGGATAAATATCCCAAATTTTTCCCCTTACTCTATTGATTATAAACATCCCAAATTTTTCCCTCAGACTATTAATGATAAATTAAATATCCCAAATTTTTCCCTCAGTGTTTTACTGATAAATATCCCAAATTTTTCCCACATTCTATTCACTATAAATTAAATATTCCAAATTTTTCACTCAGACTCTTAATGTTAAATTAAATATTCCAAATTTTTCCCTCAGTCTATCCAGGATAAATATCCCAAATTTTTCCCTCATTTAATTAATGATAAATTAAATATTCCAAATTTTTCCCTCACTCTATTAATGATAAATATCCCAAATTTTTCCCACATTCTATTCACTATAAATTAAATATTCCAAAATTCCCCTCACTCTATTAACGATAAATTAAATATTCCAAATTTTTCCCTCACTCTATTAATGGTAAATATCCCAAATTTTTCCCACATTCTATTCACTATAAATTAAATATTCCAAAATTCCCCTCACTCTATTAATGACAAATTAAATATCCCAAATTTTTCCCTCGACCCGCCCTTCCCAGTCTTCCCGTTCATCCCTAAAGGGGATGAAAATCCCAGGAATTTTTTGGTTGAAGCTGTTTTTCTAACTCTGTGCAGGCCCTGGGCAGCAGCACTGGGAAGGTTCTGGAAGCACCGCTGGCATTGGGATCATCGGGATCATTGGGATCATCGGGATTGGGATCATTGGGATTGGGATCATCGGGATCATCGGGATTGGGATCATCGGGATCATTGGGATTGGGATCATCGGGATCATCGGAATTGGGATCATCGGGATCATTGGGATTTGGATCATTGGGATCATTGGGATTGGGATCATCGGGATCATCGGGATCATCGGGATCATTTGGATCATCGGGATCATCGGGATTGGGATGTTTATAATCAATA